GCCATATATTGATCGAACGTAGTTAAAGAAATATATAATTGCAATTATAGAAATGTATAATTCTCGCGTTAAGTTCAAATTCCACGAATTTAATATATGCAGTAACAATGAGAAATGTGATATTGTTTAAGCGACTTGGACACCCATAGCAACAAAACAATAAATGTGCATTCCCGTGTGCAGAATAGTACAAAGGCCGTGAAATACGGAAAGCATTCGATGAAACGTTTCACAAAGACGTAATGGAGTACGAGTTCTTCTAATTTTCAAAAGTCGAGCATAATGGCCGGACGTGGAACAATGGAGGACACCAGGAGATCCCTTAATGGGCGCGTTTCGACGTTAAATGGCGTTGCTCGCGAGGTGCGGTGTTCTGCATTCAAAACACGGCTCGAAAACGACGCGAGCGTCCCGGGGGGAAGAGGGTTATTTCGTAATAAGGAATTCTGTTCCTGCACGATTTTCATTTTACGCGAAAACTTTCGAGATGACTGGTTTACAGCTCCCTGGGGACAGTGATAAATAAGGAGGAAAACCATAAGATTTCCACGCGTAAAGAAACATCAATTTCGTCGATTTCGCGAATAAAATATCGAGTTGTCCAGAAAGTTCGCGCCAATTTTTAAGAAAAATTCAAAGGCACATTTGAATTTTGATATATATATATTTATTGAATTATATAAATACCATTTTGTTCCACGACCTTTTCACCTTTTAAGGGATGCACCCACGTTAATTGTTTTCAATTATTTCAATACAAACAGATGTGTACTATCTACCAAAAATCGGCACGGACTTTCCAGACAAACTAATAAAAAACTAGTCAAACTACTAAGTACTTGAGTTGTAATTAAGCACGTAGTGGAAAATGAGAGAAGATGTAAACTGAAACTTTTACGTCACGGCGTCACCTGACGTCACAGCACTATCACCGTTACAAACTTCTCTCAATAGCTGTTTTGACGCAAATCTATCTAAAACTCCAGCAGAGATACATCTTGTTCTATTTAAAGCTACTTTTACGCACATGGTGCTCTATCTTTTAAATGTCGTCAGTGGGCGGAAAACGCTAAATGTTCCACGAGACGGAAATCGTCTCGGGTTGTCGCATAATTTATTTTTACTTTCTGACCTATGTGAATGATACCGAACCTCCTATAGGTCCAGTAATATTCGAACCGTGGGAAAGTACAGCGATGCGTTCGTTTCTGTTAATCTTTCTATCGTAGAAAATATTTGTATACTCGTTTCTCCGTTTCGTGGAGCATATCGATGACTGTGTTCCACGCCACACAATACACAGACTGTTCGTCGAATCCTCCTCCCTCTTACGAAAAAGATAAAACAACCTCTCGAACGAGCATTTAGCCCGTCGCATCCGAGGATACTTCGAACGCACGTGGTTATATGTACACAGGCCACGGTGCACGTTTCCTTCCCTGAGCGATAAAACAGAAGCGAAAAGCCTTGGTAAATTTCTAAACGGTGGCGAAGCTGCCGTGAAATCGCCTGTTGTCGAAAATCGACCGCAGCTTCAATGACCCTAATCGTAAACAGTGGAAAAACAGCGATTATTCCGAGACGGGACACACTGCCTCACCTCGAGTGTTTCTTTCCCTACGAATCACAACAGTTTCTAATAGAGGCCTAGTTGCTGACGCGAAGCAACGCAAAAGAAAAGACAAATGAATACTATTTTTATTTGTCTACTTTGCTTGCCCTTCGAAGCCGCTAATCATCGCGAGAGATAAATAATGCTCGTGGATCGAGTTGTTCGAAACGATAATCGAGCGAGGAAGTACGGGACAATTTTCATAACGCGATAAAACTGGAACCGCGTATCACTTCTGACGCACAAGGGGACAAACGACGCGGAAAGTTAATTGCCGTTGTTTCGATGCTTCCGACACACGGCTGAAAAGCATACGATCGCAGATCTGTCATTTAAAGGAATAGCGATAGGGAGAAATTAGGTCAATTTCCCCGATACAATAGACAACAAATCTGCGTTCAATTTCCAAAGCGCAGATCCGTTCACGGATAGAGCGAACCATTTCACGAGTCGATAGCAGAAGTTTCGAGCGCGTTTGCTTCTCTGATGTACGGGGTGTCCTAAATAGCAACTACTTTTGGTACAAAGTTAGAAACTCGAACTACGTCAACGGAAACTGAAAGGAGCACGTAAATCTGATGCACAATTGTCAATTGTAAATTTATGAATACTCGTGAAATTTGCATTCAAATAATTATTTTAAAATAGTAGTAAAACGATATGTCGTAAGATATTACAATAACATTTGTGTCTCTACGATTGTTTTCGAGGTTATGTTACAACCATATAGGATCATATAACCTCATAATCAAAATTGTCTTAAAAGAATAAAAATTAAATGAGTGTTACTCAGGTGGGTCCATGATGTCAGATCAGCGAGTACTCCAAAATGAATTTTCTCGACAAGTTCGTAGGAAAACATTCTATTTCACGTTTTAGGCTTGTTTTCTCGGGAAAAATTGCGTCTGGCGTAACCCTGCCCATACTTTCGAAGACACTCCGTGCAATTGGAAGCCAGATTGTTGGCGATTTCGGTACAACGTTATCGTACGCGGACGATAACGGTCAATCCGCGTTGCAAAGTGGGCGCGTGCGATTCGCGGTGAAAGCTTGCAAACGCAACGCAGTGCGCGCGTGCCGGCGACGCCACGCAACGACACGGACGAATATACAGAGTGTCCCAAAAATGTTGTAACACCTTGAAAGGGGTGGTTCAGGAGGTGATTTCAAACAACTTTTTCCTTAGCGAAAATGTTGTCCGAGGTTTCGTTAAGGAGATATTAACAGAAGAGCCCGACCAATCAGAGCGCGAGTATGCCGGTTGAGCGTAGGCTACGCGATAGGCGGCCGCGCTCATACGCTACCGCGGCCGTTCCAACAGTATACGCGCGCTCTGATTGGTCAATGTTTTCCGTTAATATCTCCTCAACGAAGTCTCGGACAACATTTTTGCTAAGGAAAAAGTTGTTACAAATCACCTTCCGAACGACCCCTTTCAAGGTGTTACAACATTTTTGGGACACCCTGTACAATTAAACGAAAGGAAATTTTCATGTCGCTCGAATTGTACCTTAACCTAGGGCAGAACTTCTCCATGAGAGTTGACCATAAAGATATTATTGATAGAGCAGGAGCCAGGCTTGCCAATATGTGAAAATGTTCCACTATTCGAAAAAAAAAAAAAAAAACGTAATACCCTATCTCTGTACTTTATTAATGTGAATGTAAAATATGTATGTAATTGTAGAAAGCATAAACGATAACCATTTATCATTAACATAAAAATGATATAAAAATGCGCTAATCGATAGAAATAGGCAGAGTACCGTGGTGTCCTTTTTCTTAGGCTCCCTTATTTTGTCTATAATATCTCTATGGTTTTGTATCGATAATATGGCGCCACCTGCTTCGAAAGAAATGCGTGCCCCCGTGCGACGATTCCGCTTAGGAATCAAATATTGCCAACGTTAATCGCGTTTATAACGGTATATACCTGAACCTGAACCTGAACCATAGCGGTCAGGGATCAGCGAAATGCTTATCTGGATAGAAAATTCTTAGAACGAACGAGAGATGAACAACTTTTGATCCGTTATTTATTCAATAAAAACTACGATCAAAATACGTTTCACGTTGGGACGGTAACAGCTTATCGGAATAACCGTTAATCGAATAAACGTTGCGAATAAATCATTGCACGAAGTTTCTATTCTGTTAGCTATTATACGTTTAAAATTCTGCCCATCTCTGGTAGACGTCACTCGACGTAGCTTCTCGATCGAAGGACTCGTTATTGCTCGTTTACTTTTGTCGTCGACTGCCTCTGCTCTCCTTTTCACGGTTCGCTGCCGAACGATTCATTGAGAACTGTTCGACGAATGGCGTGAAAACGGGCAACGATGCAATAGACGTACAGAGATGGGTAAAATTTCGTTCGAATAGATGAAAAATAGAAATACTACACAGTGATACATTTGCTGCGCTTCGATTGAACGAAAAAACGTGAAACATGATTTCACTGTATAGTTCGAACTGCTATAACTACGTAATTGTATCTAGATAAGAATACTGTCCATCTATAGAGGTGAAAAGTATCAATATTAATCGTGGGGTTCTCTGGAAATGCGAAACTATCGAAACTTAACCGTGGCTGTATCGATAATGATTTATCTGCTTGCTCTCTCTTTTCACTTTCGGCTAATATTTACAGCTGGCTTCGTAAGAGCTCAGTTGCACGTTTACGAAATGTTACAGAGTTGCTCCGTGAACCGCGTTTAAATATTTAAAAGACGCTGTCGCGAATGTTTACGAGATTTCAACAGAGGCTGATTTTGGATAGAGACGATAGTACATTCTTCTGCACATGTAATCGAACGATGAAAGAATGTGATATTCACCCGATGCATGCATATTTATAAAATCTTAAAATCAAACGTGATGTAAAAATTATTTTAAAAAAACATGTACGTATCTACCGTCGAGAAAGGATATCGCGAATGTCAATCGTAAGAATTATTTTCCACTCGCTACTCTTATGAACGAATGCCACTGACCAACGTACTCCAAACATTGAAATCGGAAATAATCGCGAAGTACGTCTATCAAATACACACTCGTGCAAGTTTTCAGCTTATCGATACGTTCTGTTTACAGTTTCGCTCGCAAGAATCTTTTCACCATTGACACAAACATTATTTAAACTAGAATGTTCTCCGAAAAGGAAAATATTTGTCGACAAAAGCACGAGCAATCGTCCACCGTGACTATAATACTTGGAAATGTTTCGAAATTGCCGACAATGCACCCTTAAAGGTCAATGGCGTTCGTTTGTTTATTATGGTGGACACTCCGGTAGGTGTATCTCCTCGAATGTCAAACGGCACACTGGCTGCCCGGGGGCAGTTTCTTATAACGCGAAAAATCTATATTATTTTTTTATTCCGCGTACCTGTTCTACAGCAGGATCCCCGTCGCTCTTCGAGTAATCCGCGCTCGGTGAGATATCTAATTACTCGTACAGCACATTTTAACACACGCCGGAACACACTGTGCGCAGCAAGAGTCGACGAAATGCACCACGAGCAGACTGACAGTTACCACGGGTTGTTCATTATTGGAAAATCTACCTGGCAGGCTGCTCTTGCGCAGGCCGCCGCGATACTACCGCTACCGACTTCCTCCCCACTACCAGCCACCGCCATTTCTACCAACCTCCCTTCCCTCTAGCGTTCATGTCATTCAACTACATATCGAAAAAAAATGTTATACCCAGTCCCTCTATTGTAAGCTCGATACTTGTATAACGTCAACTGTAAAATTAATCACAAATTGAAACATTAAAATAACAATATCGCAAATTACAACAACACTTTAACAATAAATGACTTCTTATAAATTTCGTATGCATTGACAGATTTAAATATATACCTGCAAATAATTAGTTTGAAGGGCTCTACTTTTCTTGAATATTTTACTATAGATTTGCGACATTCGCAAAATTGACGCTAGATTGTTTATTTATCAGCGGTTCTATGCAACTGAAAATGTATAAATGAATCCGAAAGATATGAAGCTTCATTAGTTTTATATATTAATTCCAATAACACCTTCTATAGAAAAATACACCTTGTACAGTCCTTCGCTCACGCGACTAATTCGTTTTTCGTAAAAGTCGAATATCACGTAAATCGAATTATCCAAATATGGTTTATGACTCTATTCGTAATTTTAAATGTAACGAAAACACGAAAAATTTTCAACGTACTGAGATGCGAAAGTAGTCTAGAACTTTGTAAAAACAACGCCGACAACTGAGAACTGAGATTTACGATGCAGCAAACCCGTCTAGAAAGTGAGTAGTCTGTGGAAACAGACAACCTCACGGAGGTTGGCTGAATTTTCGTAAAGTGAATTTCGCTTGAATATTAAATATTATTTTCCTTGCCCTGGAATTTGGTGACTCCTGTTATAATTGATACGTGTATTTTAAAGTGGATCGGTTCGCAGTACATTATTTGGTGTTACTTGCTACCCTTTAGAACAATATACAGCGCTTCACAAAAATAAGATATCATGGCGGTACCCACTACCGGTGTAGGTAAGTATTTTATGTCTGTTTTACGAGCTAAAGATACGAACGACGAACAGACCTATGGCACCTTAGGAATTAAATACTTTTATGGGAAATATCAAATGAATAGCATGATAAATTTCATGACGAATACCGAACCCACACGATTTCGAAAAAATATAAGATCTGTCGTATTTCTTTTACAATAAGTTATCACGTACTGTAAACGTGTCTAAATGTAATCAGTGATACGTCAAGTTTTTGAAGATATCTTTGTTATTTTGTTTTCGCTGCATAATGAAATTAAGAGAAGCTTATAAAAGTATTAACGAGTAGCAGGTTACACCATGCCTAAGAGTCACAAACTCATAACCTGTACTTGTCCTAGGATCCTTGATTACGAGTTTCTCGTTTGCAGTCCCATAGAGGATAACTTTTATTTTGCATTTCTAGTTGTGCCTCGAAACTTTCGTTTACTAGAGGAATTAGAACAAGGTCAGAAAGGTGTAGGCGATGGCACAATCAGTTGGGGCTTGGAAAATGATGATGACATGACTCTTACACATTGGACTGGAATGATAATTGGACCACCTAGAGTAATTTTTTCATAAATTCTTATTGCATTTGGGTTTACATTGAATGGATTAATTTAATTGTATACATATACCTACATATACCTAAGAATGTATAGTTTCATTGATTTTTTAGACACCATATGAAAATAGAATGTATAGTTTGAAAATTGATTGTGGTCAGAGATATCCAGATGATGCTCCTAATGTAAGATTTTTAAGCAGGATTAATATGAATTGTATTAACAGTACTACTGGTGCAGTAAGTATTTGATTTCATTTAGATTCATTAATAATGAAGATGTGTACTTGTATTATGTATCTGTTAAATTTTATAGGTTGATAACCGCAGTGTGCCAGTACTTGCAAAGTGGCAACGAGAATACACAATTAAGACAGTTCTTCAAGAGCTCCGTCGTTTGATGACACTAAAAGAAAATATGAAACTGTCTCAGCCTCCAGAGGGTAGCACTTTTTAGCCTAACCATGTGTAAACTTGATGCCTCTTCCTTTCTGCGGTAGCAAAGGGCGAGATTCAATGAAGGTACCAAATACTATTAAATGGGTGCCCAATAAAGATGTACGCTAAGAAGTAACACCTGTATAAAAAAAAGAAGAAGGTGATGATGACTATAAAAGTTGAATCAGTGTTTTCAATTTACAGAAATATTTACTTACAAAATTCAGGAAACGTATATTTTTACTTAACCATTTCCTAATTTTAGGCCATGTTTCATATATATGTGAAATTATTATTGTAATTGTAATATTTTATTGTAAAAATATGCACTAGCATTTAATTTAAGAAAATGCTGTTTCAACTTTTAGGTTATAAATACAATCTAAAACAAGAGTCATATTTTGAATCTTAAAAACTGGAAACACAGACTGTGTAATAAAAGTAATAATCAGTAAGAACAACTTATGCCTTCAAAGTTTTTTAAAACGAAAAGAAATGCCTGTATATGTATTTAGTAAACATTTCAGTTTGTGCATAAGTGCCATTTCATAATCTGTGGAGGTGTCTCAGTAATTACTATTATAGACCATTCTAAATTTTAATAATTTATATTTCTGTGTGCTCATTTTTACCAAGCTTTACTTTACTTTTTCTTTGTTAGTGTTATTAGGATTTTAGCTAACAACAGGTTGTTGAGATCAATATTTTGACATAATAATGTGCCTTTTTATGCATGTAGCATAAAAGTGAGCATGTATCGAGCGTGTTTGGTTGAGACATCATCCAAGAACGGCCTCTTATTCTATATAAAAAAAAAAGCAAATGTTTCTTAACGGATAAAACAAATTATGTTATAATTGAAACATACCAAGTAGCAATTTGATTTTTAGTAGTATATATGGTAAATGGTATAGTGTCGGATCAGTGAGTACATCAATATATGAAGCATTATACTAAAAATCTTCAGTTCTCCATTCCACTATTTATATATTAGATATATATTTAGGTTTATTTGGTCTTTATGGTACAGATGCAGTAATGTGTATTATTTTTTTGTTCTGAGCTTCATAGTTGATGTATTAGTAAAATCATACTTAATTCTTAATAAAAATCCAAAGTATCATAAATAGCTTTCCAATCACTGAGGAAAATCAGGTCTGTAACTCTAGCGCAATTCTATTATGAATTGCTCGAATATCGTTCCCATAAAGTTGTGTGGAGAACAGAAAAGGTTTTCCATAATTATGTTACATTCTAGAAAAAGAAATATAATCATAAATTATTTCAAACATAATATAATTTTTTGGAGTTTTGTTATCCAAGCTGTAGCAACGTCTGTCCTTATTTTTAAAGTAAATCCAAACCAAAGTATGAGATTTTTTAACAGAATTCCACATTTATCACGTAATATTACGAAATTCTCAACTACCTGAAATATTATACATACCTCTTCATCAGCTTCGCATTTCAGTATTACACTATAAGTAATGTAATAGTGTAATCCAATTCATACTACTAAAACTATTAAATAATTATTACTCTATGTCGATGAAGTCAAGCTTGAAAAGAATAAAAGGATTTCTTTAGAAATGACTACTATATTGTTACTTTTTACACCTTCAAATATTGATATTTCAGGACTAGTCGCTAAATAAATTAATATATAATTAAATGTGTTTAACAATTTATTTAAACCAGACGATGGTATCATTGGTTGTAGTTGTATGTACAATGCGTAAATTGATCGACGTTGGATTGACGATAATGCGAATGAATGTCAGTTTGCGTACAACTACGTTCTCATAGATGCCGCAACTTCCAAACAAGTTATAAAACTACACTCCAATACAGGATGCTAACATTGCCGAATCAGGTTTAATTGAGCTAATCACTGAATTAATCTGTATTCAGAAGTAATTTACTGTTTGCGTCTTGGTGTGTAAAGTAGTTTAGTACTCTTTATAATTGTCCACTTCTGTCTCTTTGCATACGCTAGTATACCAATCAGAGTTCCAAATACAGCAACCCCCTGAAAATAACAAATAATAATTATTGCATATTTTTTAATTAACTGCATTTTGAAAAATTGCAAAAATATATTTTGTTTGTTAAATGGGTTTACCTTTATGGTTAATCTCTTTCTGTCGTCGTGTTCGCTATTTGATGTCCACGTAAGGAATGTGGTAACATCTTTCGCTATTTGAGAAGCAGTTGCAGGGGTTCCATCTTCAAATTCCAACACTTCATCGAAGATGACCTAACACATTCGTACAATTGTTTTATATGCAACTTTTGAAAGGTAGGTAACCATGTATGTAGATGTCTTATATGATTTATTTGTTCTTACCTGCGCCATACCAAGAGCTCCTCCTGGGAAGTACGGGTTGAAATACTGACCCTCCTTTATTTGAATACCAGCTGGTGGTTCACAGTAACCAGTTAACAATGAAAATATATAATTCTAGAATATACATGAAATATTAATCATTTATATTAACTAAAATTTAAAACGAATTTCATAAGATGATATATGTACCTCTCCGTTATGCCTTGCATTGACAATAAAGGATAGATCTGGTGGATAAGCACCATTATTAGCTGCTCTAGCAGATTCTTCATTTGGATATGGAGATGGAACATAGTCAGACAATTTACCAGGGCGCATGAACATTGCACCTGTTTCATCAGGACCATCTTGTATCTATTCAAATAAAAATTCAAATTGAAAAAAATAAAAGATAATATAATTGTTATGTCTTGATTTACAGAAGCTATTTACCTGAACTTCTGCTGCAAGTTCTTTGGCTTCGTTTTCAGTGTGCGTAACACCAACAAGGTGCCGGTAAGCTATATATTGTAAACTGTGACAAGCTGAACATACATTTTTGTATACCTCCCAGCCTCGTCGCATGCTAAATAATGAAAAATAAAATTTGTTCATACTTTATATTTGTACCTATTGTGCTATGTAGTATTATTTTCAGTTACCTTTGATGATCAAGCGCAGATAATATTCCGTAAAAGTCCCATTTATAAGTTGGTGCATGAGCTACTAGACCAGAAGCTTTTACAGAACTATCCAAGGCATAAATTAATGCACTGATACCTCCTGCTGTTACTCCCAAGCAAGTCAATAACTGTAATTTAATTAAATAATATCAATTTCTTAAAGGTTATTTATTTTCAACTTATTTTATACTGACACAACAACTAAAACTTACTACAAATATATACACATGTCTATCGAACAGGGATCAGATTTTATTATTTGCACATTGGGATCAGGAATAGAAAGGACATCTTGATATGACTATAAAAATACACATACCATTTTCCTACCCCTAGACCATTGGTTTGCAGTGGAAAAATTATGTACCGGCTGAAATTAGTATTTCAATATTAGATGAAAATCAGTAAGATCATAACAGATTAATTTAGATTTAGATTTAATTAATAAGATTATCCAAATTGATAGCATTGCAGGAGAAGCTAGACAAGTATATGTCTTCAATATTAAAAGAAATAAGTTATTGAAGGCTATTATTATGGCTAATTAGCGTAAGATGCGCTACTGTCCGAGTAAAGACAGATAAAAAAATACTTTCAGTTATAAATTTCGTTTCCTAAAACTATCGCGTAGTATTCACGCATTTCAACCATGGCAGCATCACAATTTTCTGTGCTGATCACTATTACATAACATCGGATAAAAAGTCTACGAAATCTTTCTGAATTTAATATTCTGCTAGAAAATATATCTAGTTGGAGACAAAATAATGACGGACAGTATAAAGCTAAAGTATCTTCAGAAAAAATGTCATAGCAGCCGACAACTTCTGCAGTTCATTAAGAATCTTCGTACTCTGCTCAGAACGTCAATATTATAATTTGAATATCTCGACAGTGACTGATACTCTTGGAACAAACGAATTAATGCAGTTTCAAATAAGTATTAGTTTATAATTACGTACCTGATTAAATAACGTTCCATAATTTGTCTTTAAAAGACCAGACTTACAAACCCGACTCAATGAAGCCGCCATGTTGGCCAAAGGTACAATGTGCACAGACCACTAGTCAATGTATCATCTGTAAACAAATTTTATAAACTAATGAAACAATATTCTTTCGTATTACACCGATTTTTCTTTCATAATATACACACGTTATAACCGTACGTACATAGGTGTCCAGTGATGGCACCGAAAGAACACGTACTTACACAACTTTCAAGTCTCTAACTCGACTCCAACCAAGGATACCAATATTATAGACAAATTTTTAAACGTTCGAATTTATCTACATGTGCCTACACTGGATGTAATATCTTTTTAATCGCGTAAATATTATCGATCGTATTATATTTCTCATATCCGAGGATTACAGTATTTTATTTATTCATACACATAGTATTTGTAATACATGTAACTATACAAAACAGATCTATATTTTATATTTCATATTATTTCAATATAAAACTTAGACTACATTATTATACTTAATGTACTGTAACAACTATAAAAGTTTTATTCATCTACTTTGTTACGTTTTAAATTACAGATAACAAAATTTTATTCGAGTAATAAATTAGGAATAAAGTCAATGTTTAGCGATTTATCCACAATGATTATTTAATCGAATGCTCACATTTTTATTTATTAATTACAATACACTTCACTCTATAAGTCGAATTTCATTTTTATTTAATTTCAATATTCAATAAACTCGACTAGTTACATTTGACTACTTGACTATACATATATGTATAGTAGAATGTAGTAGAATACTATTCGAATAGTGAAATATTAATAGTTTATTGGTGGTATTCGAGCAGCCACAAAATATTCAGTGTTAGATTATGTATAAAGAATTCGAAATTTATTTACAGTATTCCAATAGTTATAAATTATACCAATGTTGAATTATTCGAGTAGCCCAAGCGCTATTTGAAAGTTACGATCATTTCTGGATTCGAGAGGGGGCGTGACGCATGCGCAATTTCTGTTGGTAGACTTGGCAGTTCGCTGTCGACCATTGGTGTCAGCTGGTGGTTTCGTCAGATGGAATCGTGAATCCTGTAATATCACATCGATCATCGTACGGAAGAAAGCGAATCAAGATGAGCGGAGGAATGCCAGAATTGGGCTCGAAGATAAGTTTAATATCGAAGGCGGACATTCGTTACGAGGGCCGACTCTTCACTGTTGATCCTCAAGAATGCACGATTGCTTTAGCTAATGGTGAGTCTCGAATCAAGATGGATACCAAACACAGTTTTGCCGCTGCTCTGTTTCCCGGTTATTTCGTTGTAGTACTCGTACCTATTAATTCGCGTATACTGTATTTCCCTTGATCGGTACGCTTTAGCTGTTCATCATATCTAAACGTTCATCAATTTCTTTGTATAAATCGTGTTCAAAAATGCTTTTCGAAACGGTCGGTATCAGATTGTCCGGTGATGCTTCGATACAAAACAACCGGGGTGACCCGTCACTAATAACGGGTGTTTTGCAGAATATTCCTAATTACAATGTACGTTTTCAGAACATATTCTCGCATTTAACGTATTGGTAATTTTCGTAGGATTTGATTTAGTATTCTTAGAATGATAGGAATTCGCACCTGAACACAAAGAAATAAAATAGGGAAATCAGACGTATGACATATAAATATTATTTAACTGAGTAATTATATCTATTCCTGTTATAAAACCTGTACTGGTATTAATAATACGAACTTCATGAAAATTTCGTAAAATAAACGAAGTACCGAATTTTCTAAATTCTCTATTGTATAATATTACTGTATTTGGTATTTTCTTTTGTACATAATCAAAGATAGAAATGAAATTGGTTAAATTTGAAATATGAAAAGTATACTTTATTAAATTTCAAATATTTCTAATGATTATAACTGTATCGAGTTAGGTTGCCTCAAAGTCATTACTTAGATCTACCATTGTATGGAATGTTTGTGTCTCGTGTTTGCCCTGTTTATGTCTATGTCCTTTCTTTTTTCAGCCATATTACAAAACTGTTACAATGAATCGTTAAATTTGAATTTTGTGGTATCATATATCGAATTTATTAGTACTACTTAACATTTAATTTAAAATGTAGTTCTTTTTTGTATATTAGATGAATATATATTTAAAAAAAATATAGAGACATGTATTTTCCAAACAATGTTTATAAATAATTAATATTAAAACATAAATAAATATCTTTCGAAGATATATATGCCATGTTATTTTGTTTTTCTTGTAATATAGTACGTTCGTTTGGAACTGAGGATAGAGAGACACAATTACCAGTGGCACCACAGAATCAAGTGTACGAATATATTTTATTCCGTGGTTCGGATATTAAAGATATCCGAGTGGTTAACAATGTTAACTCTATTCCAAATGATCCAGCCATTGTGCAGGTAATTATTTACAATAGCAAATCTTTCTAGTAGTGTATTCTAAAGAATATAATTGATGTCACCCACAATTACGATTGGTAAATAATTGTGGTTATTTATAGATGACGGTACAACCATCTATGAGCCAGCAGTCATACCAGCCACAACCTAGTTATGCTCATCCAATGATGGGCCCAATGGGTGGACAATATGGAACCCCCTACGGCATGACAATGGGTACCATGGGACCGGTAATGGGAATGCCAACTGCTGCTAGAGATCCTCGCGGACCAATAAATAAACAGCCAAGTGAGTTGAGCTTGGGCTCTGCCGAACCCAATGCCATCTCTATCCCAAACTCACTACCAACGGCCAATGTCAACCCATTACCAAAAGACCAATCTCTGGAAGATGGTAAACTGTTTTTGCTATGAACTATCCTTTGCCAATGGCATGCTTGCTGCTTACTTTTTGGTAATGCTTGTTTATTTCATTTCTAAAATTGGTCCTTTCTTTTTATTAACTGCAAACTCTATCTAATATGCTGATAAAGTATAAAAAGCTTATTCCTACCTTTCTTTTCTTAACTCCTTATGCCAGTGTGCTTTTCAAACTTTTTAAGAAGCGACCCTGTAAAAGGAAAGAGAAGTTTTGCTCCTTAAATTTATTGATAAAAAGTTTGTTGTACATCCTTTGAATTTTAAGTCCTTCTACTTCTAAGGGTCAATTCACTAGATTTGAAAAACACTGATTTTCATTCGCTTACTTATGCTGTGAACTATTTCTTTATCTTAATTTCCTATGCTTGTGCTTGGACTTCTTATTACAAGCTTATGTGGACAAATTTTGAATGCTTTATGCACATTTAAATTTGTAATTATTATATATATAAATATTTAAAAATATTTATAGCATATATTTTGTTTGCTTTAACATTATTGATTTGTTGATAGTTAACATTTTATGCATCTTGGTGGCTTGAAATTTTTTTTTTTTTTAAATGATGTTATAGAAATCAGAATTTATATTTATATTACATTAATTATTCACAGTATTTTTTAAATATGCACTTGAATTTCGCTCAAATAGTATCAAAAATATTATGCAGTAGCAAGTAACATAATAGCAAGAACAGTTGAAATGTCTTATAAAAATCTTCTTCTAAAATTGATTCTCATGGAATGTATATTCAGTGTAGTATCTTCTAATAGTATTTCATTTAGAGCTAGATTTGAAGATATAATATTGAACACCCTTCAAATGATTGAATGCATCGAATACGAGATGTGCAACTCTTTACCTGATTGCCACAGGTGTATTAGACCTTATTAGCGGTGGTTCACGATCGACAACGCCAACTTCATCTTTATTGACTCGAAAGAGTCCAACCATAGATCAGGGTATTCAAGTAGGCCATCAACAGCAGACACAGCAGCAGCAACAGCAAGGTGGCAAGCTCGGCGACAAGACAAATATGAGAAACATTCAACCTGCTCGACGTGATCATGATAGGTAATTAAATCATAATTGTTAATCTGATGTTTTTAAAGCAGTAGTGCACAATCTTTCTTGCAACTGAAACTATAATTTTGCTCATTTTTGTTTCAGTCATGGTGGTAAGCCTGGTATTGTGTCACAGTATAACGAAGGGAAGCGTGACCAAATGAAACAAGATGGTCAAATGCAAGGTCAAAGTAACCACGCGCAAGGTGGTCGAGGGAATCGCGGGGGTTGGATAAATCGTGGAAATATGCGAGGCAGAGGAAGAGGTCGCGGTGGTTTTAGAAATCAAATTGGTAATACTGGTGCCAAACCGAAGAATACATTGAAGTTTGATAACGACTATGATTTCGAGCAAGCTAATACTGAATTTGAGGAATTGAGGTATACACTTTCGTTTCCTGTACAAATATATTATTTAGCATGGTCGTGCCGGATTCATTTCAAGTACATTTTGAAATGACCAATGTGGAAACCATGCAAGAGTAACGTTATATGCGTCTTTATAGTAATACATATTCGTACGATATATGTTTTGCTTACGCTACGCATCGACAGACGTTTTTATCTTTTATGATGGATATCAATTTTAAGAATATTTAAAATTAAATGGTACGATAATTTTTCGCGTTACATGTTGCAGATCTCAATTAGCAAAAACAAAGATTGATACTGGTGCTGATAACGAGAAGAAGGATGACAGTGGTAATGAGACAGGTGCAGGTGAAGGAGAGCCCGAGGAGGAACCAGAGATAATCCATTACGATAAGTCGAAATCATTCTTTGATAATATTAGCTGCGAAGCTGTTGAGAGGAGTAAAGGGTAAGTGGATGTTTTTATATACTTGTGATCATCTCCTTTCTAACTATTATTTTGAGACATTTTCAGTATAATAATTTACAAAATAACATCGCGTATAATCTAACGTATCTTTTAACGATAAAAGAATAATGTGTACTCGAAAAAGATTGTCAAGATTCAAGAGAATATTCTTGGTTATCGATGACAATGAACGCGATTAAGTATAATAATCATTAGTTAGGTTGATAACTTGACAATAGTAAATTTACATTTACGTAGAGAGATTAGGCATCCAGAGGTTATGTTCGTAACAATTTACAGACGGTTCCAACGTACAGACTGGAGGACAGAGCGCAAATTGAACTCTGAAACATTTGGTGTAGCGTCAACGAGGCGTGGTGGCTTTCGCGGACGCGGTTATTATAATCGTGGAATGGGGGGAATGTATCGAGGTGGTGGTGGTGGTACCGGTGGTTCTGGTTTCCGCGGTGGTTACAGAGGTTCCAGAGGTGGTAATCGTAAACCTGTTAACCAACAACAACCGAATAATCCTGGCAGTCAAAACCAACGTATGACCAACGAACAACCCACT